TTGAGCGAAAAGCTTTATTATTACTCTGTATTTTGTTATTAAATAGTTTGTTGATCTGCATAATAAAAAAATTTTTAATTATTTCGTCAAATGGGAGTTTCTAAACACTCCCATTTCATTTTCCGATTTCAAAATTTTGATACACAAATAAGATTTTTTAAACTCTTATTTATTTCCGAAATACGCTATTTTTTTTTAATTCTGAAACCCCTTACTGTCAAAATTTTCTACAAAAGAATTACCTTTTTCAAAAATAAGTGAGAATTTAAAAGATCCTAAATAGGTGTAGACGATGATAAAATTTACTGGCATGCGATTATGTAAATAAGTGCGTCGCCTCTTTAGAAATAAATACGTCACTTATTTTATCTGACGTCGGATCATCTATTCTGAAACCTAATAGAAAATTTTATTTTCTAATTTAACAGTTTTAATAATTAAACATGAAATATAATTTCTACAAAAATTTATATATGTCAAACTGTGTGATTATAAGAAAAAGGTATTCATTTCAAGAAAATCAACAAGAATATTTAATAAGTTATTAATAATAAAAAAAGCATAAACAAAAATACAGTAAACCACATTATACTAGGAAATGCATAGCATTGTGTGTCCGGAGCTAACATAGTGATCATCAGAGTATTACAACCAATCTGAATCTCGGGAGTGAACTTACTGTCGTAAAAACAGTGTCCTCCGCTTCGCTCCGGACAAATAATTTAATTTAAAAATAGGCTTGACATTTCGTTCTGGATTTCTATTACACTAATAGGCTTACTAAAATATTCTGAAATTTTTTTCGTATCTAATAGCTTACTAGTATATATATCTTGTGAATGTATTTGTTTAATTAGTTCAGGTTTAATCTTATCATCTTCCAAAAATTGTTTTTTGATTTCATTATCATCGTCCTGATCCATTCCATCCAACCAATGTGTGATTATTTCAATAATTTCTGTTGCACTAGGTCGTTTATCAAAATCTTTATCCATACATTTCACAGCTAAATGAATATAGCAATCTGGTCCTGACCATTTAGATCTTAATCCACCGATTATTCTTGATGCAAGATAATCATCAAATGAAATTCCATCAAAAGCTCTTTGTCCGGTCGAAATTTCTGTCATGATAACTCCAAGACTGTAAATATCTGACATTTGAGTGTACGATTGACCCATCAAAATCTCAGGTGCTACATATGGCAAAACTCCACAAATTTCTCCTTCCTTTTCTTTTCTAGAAAGTCCAAGATCTGTAATATATGCGTTATGTAAAGCAAAATGTTGTAAAATGTTTTCACTGTGTAGATCTCTATGAACGAGTCCTTGCGAATGAATTGACACAAGATCCAAAGCTATACATTGCAAGAGACTCAATTTATCTTTCCATTCTAATTGTGATACTTGTACAAGATTTTGTCGTAACGAACCTTTTGTCGCATAATTCAGAACAATAATATAATCACCATAAATATTTCTTGATACTCCAAAACATTCCAAGAATGAAGGATTCTTGTAACCAATTTCACAATAATTTTTTAATTCTTGGATAAATTCTTCCACATTTTTGTTTGAATCAAGAATCACTTTAGGTGCTGCATTTTTCCATTCATCATTAATTCTATCAAACCAACGTGCATAATATACAGTTGCAAATCCTCCTTTACCCTCTTCATCAATATTTCTGAATTCATTATAAAATCCAAGATAATTTAAATCTCTCATCATCTAATATTCTCTTAAGTTCAGGATTAATATGGTCTGGTGATTTATTAGCTTTCAAAAGACTTCTACATTTTGCAAACCAATAATTTGCACTCTGAATATCTTTTTTTGTACCGATACCATTTCGATAATATTCTGCAAGATTCTTCATTGCTACTTCATCACCCATATTGGCTGCTTTATTAAAATCTTGACCAACCCCGATTTCATTTAAATATTCAAATGATTTCTGATAATTTATTTCTACTCCAATTTCATAAAGATAACAATTTCCAACAGCATGCATCGCATCCGAATTTCCTAACTCGGCTACTCTCATATAATATTCAAACGCCTTTTTTTCGTCTTTCTTAACACCAATTTTATCTTCATAACAATTACCAACTGCATGCATCGCAACCGAATCTCCTAACTTAGCTGCTCTTAAATAATATTCAAAAGCTTTCTTTTCATCTTTCTTAACACCAATACCAACTTCATAATTATAACCAAGTTCATAAAGTTGTTCAGATTCCTTTTTTTTTTAAAGAAAGAAAAAGAAATTATGGATTAAACAAAATACATGCTTTAATTGTCCAGTGCGTAACGGAAATTTAATGTTTAGTCAAAGTGATATAAACTTACATCAATAGTTACGTTTTTGATTAATTCATTAGTTGGATTATATTGTCGGATCAAAAAAGTAAAATTTTAACTTTTTCTTTTCTGTCTGCATGCATATTTGTATTTTTAATGTAACAATGCGGCTGGGGTATTCTAATCATATAATCAAAATTATGTAAAATGCATAAAATTAATCGACAAAATCGATGCGTCTTTACTAGTAAACAGATAGATCGAAATATAATCTTCGTTCAAATTTTTAGCACCTATAAAAGAGAGCTACGACTAAATTTTTTTGAAGTTTTAATCAACATTTCTCAACAACTACAAATTCATGTTCGATATGTTTTTTTTTTTATTTTAATTTAGGAGCGCAAATTCGTTATAATGAAAATTTTTATGAAGCAATTGGTGCAACACATAATGAAACCGAACACGAAATATTAAAAAGTGAATTGCAGCACTAAGTTATGTTCTTGCAGACAAAAACAATGTTTAGGAAATTTTGAACGTCTTTTACGTAGTGAGTGCAAAACCTAACGTTGCTTAAATTGCTATGTGTAAAATATTTGTTTTATGTAGACAAATTTAGTTTAAATTTAATATTTAATAAGCATGTAATAGTTTGTTTTTTTTGCTTTATCTATTTTGGTTTGTTTTTTAAATTTTTTTTATTCCTCAACAAAAGTTTTTTAAAGATTTTAAATACAGTCAGACCTCTCTAAATACAATACGACGGGACCATATGTAAAAATTTAGCTAAGCGTACATTTGGGGAGATACAGTATTGCATTTAGGGAGGTAAAAATCTATAGGAATAATATTAGCTGGGCCAAGAGAATAGGGAGGCTTTTCATAGAACGTGCATTTGCGAATTGAATATGCCAATTACCTATAGGAGCTGACAGAAAAGAGCTCATACATATATATCTCTTACCTTCTCTTTCCCCATTATTCCCTTTTTACCCCATAAAAAAAATTAAAAATCATTGTTCAGATTATATTTTTTAAAAACGAGCATTTGCTAAATTTTACATATGGTCCCGTCGCATTGCATTTAGAGAGTAATACCCTGTTATAATTTTATACCGAAAAAAAATTATAATCAGGAAATAGGAAATATTCAGGAATTTAAAAGGGTTTTATATATGTTCTTATTATGAAAAATGCTCATTTTAAAAAATAATAATCTGAACAAAACCTGAATATGAATTTTAATTTTTTTTTTATAAGGTCCTCTATACGTTATATAAAATGCGCATGATATAGTATGATATAATTTTCGGATTTTATATTTTCCTTCAGAAAAATATCGGAAGTTTTCTTTAATTTTTGTCCGAGCCTTCTCGCCTATTGTGTTTGTTCATTTTCTTTTCGAAATATTTTCGGAACTTTGTCATTGCTACTTCTTAATTCCGCCTGGCATTATACTCTCTGGCCTAAATTATATATACTTTAATTTCCTATATGAGTGAAAACATCTCTAAATGCAATGCAATGGGACCATATGTAAAAATTTAGCCGAACGTGCATTTAGGGAGGTAAAAATCTGTAGGCGTAATATTAGAGAAGACGTGCATTTAGGGAAGCTTTTCATAGAACGTGCACTTAGAGGTTGTATTTAGAAGGGTCTGACTGTATAATGATTATATACTATGCATTACGGTGCATTTGTTGAAAATTTTGACTGCTAATACGTAAATAGTAATTTTGGCCAAGATAGTAAATGCTTTCCAGGTCATTATAATAAAGTTATATGCCTAATTAAATGTGTCAAAGAGTGGGAAGATGGGTTAGACGCATTACTATTATAGATCGGAGTGCCAATAATTTTTATTGGGGGTCCATATTAGAAAAATCGATAATAAATTTTGTTCTCAAAACTTAAATTTGGGAACAAAAAATTAGTTAAATTTGACAAACGCGTTGTAATGGATAAGGTTCAGGTTTCACTCTCATGCCATCTCTAAAGGGGTATAAAGGGGATGGAGGAGAAGTGGTGGGGTATATATATGAGCTCTTTTCTGTCAGCTCTCTATCCACAATCTTATTTTTTTTAAAAAAAATTAATTAACCTAAATAACAATACCAAAACTATTATTAAAATGAATAAACGATTTTTAGCTTTTAATTTTACCCTACTCCTCATTATTATCATCGTTTCAGGTTATTGACTTGAAACAAATCATTATTCCAAATGCTCATGCACTAAAGCCAAAGCCATATTTAATAATAAATTTCATGGTTTTATAGCTTTCTCTCAAGACGAAAACGGTGATACCACAATCAATGGTATTTTCAAGAATGGACTCATAAATCCTCCATATCAATTTGACATTACTGATATGTGTGGAAATGTTATTAGAAATATCACCAAAATTTTGAATGTTAATAATGGAACCAAACCTTTTAATGCAAAGATTAAAAACCTTAACCTTAATTGTGATAAAAATAGGATTCTGTTCGCTAATTGTAGTGGTCCATATCATTTAAAAAAGCGAGATGTGGATTCACAGATGAGCATTACTGATGGTGAATTTCCATCTGATAATGATCAAGCAAACTAGTCTTTAGTAAAATAAAACATTTAAAATTAATGTCAATATTATATTTCTTTTTTAATTTTTATCAATAATCTGCTTAATAAATAACATGCGCAAATTCATGTTCTTATTTTTATTATTTTGAAATTTTTTAAATATTCATTGAAAGTTTAAGAATCTTTGTATACCTATCTGCCGATGCAAATTTTCATGATTATACTTCTGGTATTTGGATTTTAAAACTATAATATATAAAAATATTAATTTTTAAAGACAAATTATTAAATTTTCAATTGGTTTTATCAATTAAATTTTAGCAACGCTGAACAATGAAACATGAATTACTCAAATCCATATTATCACCTTTTTGATCATAATTGAAATGTCTTTAAATTAATAAATCCGAATATTTAAAAGTAACTATTTATTATCTATATTATTCTCGTTTTCTTACATTAGCAGAGCTATTATTCATTAATGAGCTGGTCGGCTGAATTTCCACTGGATAACTACTGTATCCTTGTCGACGCATCTGCATTTGACGATAATACTCTGCATCCGCATCTGTGCATAATATTGTTGCTGTCGTTGCATGTTTAACAATGTCGGGGATTCCGAACTCTAAAAAAATCTTGGATACAGTATTTACCCAAAATTTTTTTTTGACCTTGCTTGTCTTTTGTGTTAGTTCATTTCTTTTTGGGAATATTTCGGGATTTTTGCAGTTCGCAAACTTAATAATGACAGCTATAAATAATTCTGACAATCTATAATATTTTGACAGGTATAAAATTTTCAACAATCTATAATAATTTCACCAGATGAAAGTAATTTTGTCATAAGCCATTTTGTAGTGTGTTACAAAAAAATTTCTTCAACCCTAACCTATAACTAACCCTTACTCTAATTTAATTAAATAATCATATACACCCATCCGCCATTTTTGTAAAGAAAAAATTAATTAAAAATTTAATTTCGTCGGAAATTAATAAACAATTATGTTTCGGGCCTAAATTTAAAAGATCCTCAGCCGTTTACCAATCAAAATCAAGGATTTGCCATGACAATTTTGTTAATGCTGTAATGCAGCTATAGTTAATTTTAGACTGATTAATGCGCTACCAATCTGGTACACATTCAAGAATTGTCATTTGTTATGAGTTGTGTCATTTGACATGAGTTGCGTTATGCGTCATTTCATCAATTCGAAGTTTCCTGACGAAATGGTTTCATCATGCATCAATGACTCAAGTTGCGTAATGCATTACCCATCATTAATATATGGGGACGACCACAGCAAAAGGTGGCAATGAGTCAAAATTTTTGATTCTGTAATTTTATAAAAATTATATGTCTATTACTCTAATTCTTCAAGAAATTGCATTTTTAAGAAAAAAAATTTTTTGACACATTGCCACCTTTTGCTGTAAGGGTTCCCATATATGAGTGCTGCCAAGGGAAAAAGGCTGATTGGACTTTTAATATATTTTGTGTACAGTTAGCCATCTATGGAAAATTTATCATTAATAAATTATTCATAGACGGTTAACTGTACACAAAATATGTGGTTGAGTCAATAGAAATCAAGCAAATATTTTTTAATAAGTTTTTTTTTAAAACTTTAAACAAGAATAACTTAACAAAAACTTAATCAAATTTAATAAAAATTTTTTAAAAAAATTTTTATCAAATTTTGTCAAATTTTTGTTAAGTTATTCTTGTTTGAAGTTACAAAAAATTTTTATTATAAAAAATTTGCTTGATTTCTATTGACTCACCCCATATATTGAAAGTCCAATCGACCTTTTTCCCTTGGCAGCACTCATATACTGTATTTTCGCGTAATAACGCTCACGATAGGGTTGTTAAAACTTACCCTGACAACATAATTTACATGTAAGTTACCGTAATTTACTGTAACTTACACGGCCCATATGTAAGTTACAATTTATGTACTAAAGCCGGTCAAATCATGTGATAATTTCTACTGGCATTAAGTGAAATTTATATAACAAGTGATTTACGTCATTTATACGTAATTTCTGTTTTCTTTATTACAGTATTAAACCTCATACATACCTGTAAGTTAACTAGAGATGGGCTATATTTTTTTTTTTTTTTTTTTTTAATTCTTTGACAGTCTTGCCAGTGCTTAATTTATTTAAGACTATATTCAGGTGAGAGTTGAACTCTCTCGAACAATACATATCATTCATAACCCAAAAAGGCGTCTAGTGATTGCAAGTCTGACATCACCCGGCTGCGATTAACGTGCCCACATGCGACTTGTCGCACCGACCTGTATACAAGTTAGATAAACTTTGTCAGCCCGTCAAAGCTTTTCCCTTCATATTCTCTTTCTTTACTGAGAGCAAAAGAAAGTGATGATCTTATATTCAATACAAAACCACCAATAATACCAAGAAAACAAAACAAAGAACTCACTAAAAAAAAAAACACAAATAAAACGAAGAGGGAATTTTTAAGGAAAAATAAAAGGGGTACAATAGAATGTAAAAAAAGAAAATCAATGAGAAAAGCCCGAGGGCCAACAAAGAAAACTACCTCTATCAAGAAGCAGTACAAATAGAACGAAGAAAAATACACTATTCTAACCCGTGCCAGGTTTAAGAAAAAATTTTATAACAACTGCAACATTTGTATATCTTGACTAAAAAACCAACAAATTATTATCCGACTACCAACTGCCTCCGGACGCCGCTATAGACCCGATCCCAGTCACGTGGAGATCCTGTATCTGTAGACTACGTCGCGTCACATATCCACCGATAGAGATGGGCTATATTGATTATATATGATTATTTAATATTAATAAATATTATTTAAGTTTTTAGTAGATAAGGCCACTCCAATTTAATTTTTTGTTTAACATAACATAAAGGTCGCTTATGAGAGTGGGGGGAGGGATTAAAAAAAAAAACAAAAATAAAAAAATACAGCAATTCTATTGGCTATAAAAATGTAAAAATACAAAAAGTTAATACTGCAATTTGATTGGTCAAAATTGTGTTTTTTTTACTTATTATTGCTCAATCAGATGACTTTATTTAAACAACTGAACAATTTTATTTAACAAAGCTGGAAAACATATGAGAATAGGGGTTCGCTACCTTTTATGGCTCTAATATACATAACCAAATTCACAACTACAAAGACATAGATATGGGGTC